TATTTTAGAGTGACACAAATCAGTAGATCACAATTTGTTTTGGTAAAAGATTGCAGCGCAGATCATTATACAGAAAGGATATCTCCGATATATTTTACCAACTTAGGCGCAAGTTACTTAATTAATTTTTAGATGTGGCACAAATTGTAATACGTAATTAATATATGTATACGCCAAAATGCACAAACGCATTATTAAAAATGTATACGTAGTGGTGGACTACTGAAAAATCTATCCACTAGAGTAGAAATACCGGATGTTCATAATAATATTGTAATATATAAATAATCTACACAGTAACCAATTAATTCGGCTCAATTGCATTGTATACAATACTTGAATAATTTAATGGGCATATTATTACGTTCGGATCCAAGTAGAATTGTTCACGGCGTACGTGGTCAAACACCTTAACTTCTATCTTGGCCACGTCCACGTTGTACACCATCATGTCCCAAGAATATCCGTACAATCCGTTTCGCCATCCGTTATAACCCTGAAATAAATGTAATGTTATAACTTATAGGCCAAGGGTGATGAACCTATGGCGAACACAGGTTAGATTTTAATRGCACGTAAAAATGCTTCATTAAACATCTCGCTAAGCATAATACGATGAAAAACGATTCTGTATTATTTTTTTTTTTTTAATAAAGTTTTTTTTCATTATAAAAGTTTGAAACTATCACTTAGTTGAGTCTGTTTTTCAAACATAATATTTTTTGAAAAAAATGACTTGTTATAGCCAATCGGTACTCAATATTTTCGTCATAATGCACATATAGATACGTAAATTATGTGACCAATGTCCGTAGTATTACATAAACATAACTACCACTACGTAATAGTAATTATTTCACAGTGAATTATTTTGAAGTAAAACAGAAAAAAATTACCTGTGTTATTATATGCGAATACGGTAAAAATAATTGCAAGACTGTGTACACACACACTCCCGCGACGATGGCGTTTTGTTTGGTCCGAGTTGGAGGTTTGTAGACGGGGGACTTTGGTTCAGACTTATCGTTCCAGAAATTTTCTACAGTGGTCCGTAAAATTTTAGACATCGTCGCTGGATCACAAAATACCGGTATCATTGCGGCGCAAACGTATGGAAACATACCTGTTCAAATATAATATTATG